GAGAGAGAGAGAGAGAGAGAGAGAGAGAGCGAGCGAGAGAGAGCGCGAGAGCACAAGTGTGCACACGTGCATTGAGTGGGAGACACATGGGGGCGCCGTCTAACAAGTTGAGCTAGAGTCAGGTGGATATTTGTGGTAGGAGCCTAGTGTTCAGAGAATTTTAGGTAGGCAGCTGCCTAGCATGTTGAAGAACTAGCAAGGAGGCCAGTGTGGGTGGAACAGAGTAGGTGGGAAGAAAATATACTAGGAGATAAGATCAGGAAGAGTGAAAAATTGCAAAGTAACCATCTAAAGTCTTATGAAAGATGTGTAACTACTGACTGTGCAGATTTAATCTGTATGTCATACGTGGTTGGTAAGGACCACATAGGGTGATGCAAGGATTGTGGGTTTTACTGTTTAGAAATGGGGAGCTATTGGAGGGTTTTACAGGTGAGTAATGTAGGAGGGACAAAATTTCTCTTTTATTCTGTTAGGTTCCCCAGCAGGGACTGACATGAGACAGAGTAACATGTGATAAACATACAAATTTTATTTAGTAATTTTTAAATGTGACCCCTTACAAGAAAATACAAAGACCTAAAAAAGCAGTCAGGGTAACTGTTTTCATAGTAGGTTAGACAGAGAGTAGTAAATTATGAAAACCAGCCAGGACAAAGGGTTTGGGACATGGTGATTAATTGTGTGAAAGGGACTAAGAGATGGGCTATTTTAATGTGGCTTGTTTGGCAGGTTACTCTTGACCTGAACCCTTCCTTCCTTTGGTTCTGGGGGGACATCTTTCATGTGGGAGATGTCTTCTGCTTTCAGGAGAAAAAGGAGGGTCAGAGTGCCCTTATTGCATCTGCTGTAACTCACCTGCTGTTATTTCAAAATAATGGACATGCCAATGTGACATATTTTGGGGTGGCATGCTTTGGTTTTCTAAAGAAACATGCAAGAAGTTTAAGAAGGATCATTTTGGCTTTTGAAAGGAGGTTGAGGGATGTCTAGGAAACCTAGTTAAAGTGTACTGCAGTAGACCAGGTCAGACGTGATGAGTGGTGTCACTCTGTATGCATGTATCACATTTGCTCTCTGTGTTCACTTGTTGATGGGTATTTGGGTCATTTTCAGCGTTTTGTTATTGTGATCAAAGTTGGTATGAAGTTTTGCACACAAGCCCTTGTGTGGGCATGTTTTCTAGTCTTAGAAAAATCTCTAGGAGCGGAAGGGCTGGTTGTGATGTAGATCTGTGTTTAATACCAAAGAAACTGCCAAAGGGCTTTTTAAAGAGTGTGTCATTTTACATACATTCTGCATACAGTGTATGAGAGTTCCACTTGTTTCACACCCTTGCTGGCACTTACTTTTTTGATGTTAGGTTTTCTAATAGCAGTAGTGGTATCTGGTTGTGGTTTTAGTTTGCATCTTCCCTAATGGCTAACACTGTGTGTTGGGTTTTAATCTCCTTATCCAGAATGTTTGTTTTATCCTCATTGTTGGAACTTTGGTTCCTTTCTGTTAAAACTCATTAAAACTTTTAGAAGTTATCAAAAGATATATCATGTTTTCTTAAAAGTTTATAGTAGCCTATATAGTTTTATGGTTTTGTTTTTGGAAATTAATTCATTTAAAGTGAGAGAGTATAATACTGGTATTAAGTTTCAATCTGTTTATTCATTCATTCATTCATTCATTCTGGTACCAATGTTTGAAACCAGGGAACTCAATCACGAGCCACATCCACAGCCCTTTATATATTTTTATTTTGAGTCAGGGTCTCATTAAGTTGCTTATGGCCTTACAAAATTGCTGAGGCTGACTTTGAAACTTGTGATCCTCTTGTCTCAGCCTACCAGGCTTGAATTTTAATAAACTTACATTGAATTTCAACTTTACCTTGAAGTCATTTTTGTCATATAGCATAATTTAAGTTTCTGCTTTATCTTGTGCATGGTTTATTGCTCCCTAGATTCTGCCATTTAGGGTGAAAATCCATTTCAGATGATAATAACAGGTCTAGGTAAACATACATCATCTGAGAATTTTCTGCTGAACAGGTGTTTCAATTTTTTCCCCAGGTTCCTGATGTAATCAGCAGTATAAGGCAGTTATCTAAAGCAGCCATGAAAGAGGATGCCAAACCCAGCAAAGATAACGAGGATGCCTTTTACAACTCTCAGAAGTTCGAAGTCCTGTACTGCGGAAAGGTGGTAGTGACTCACAAGAAGGCCCCCTCCAGCCTCATCGATGATTGCATTGAGAAGTTCAGCCTGCACGAGCAGCAGCGCCTGCGGCTGCAGGGCGAGCCGCCAGCGGAGCCCGGCGAAGATCTGGTGGTCTTCGAGGCTGAGTCGCCTGGGTCCCCAGGAGACAGCTTGCCAGAGGAGGCGGAGGGCCTTGCCCACAGCCGCCCCGCGCTGCCCGCCGTGGCCAGCCAGCCCGCCCTGTCCAGCTCGCGTGTGTGTTTCCCGGAGCGGATTTTGGAGGACTGTGGCTTTGACGAACAGCAGGAGTTTCGGTCTCGGTGCAGCAGTGTCACCGGAGCCCTGCAAAGGAGAGTTCACGAGAACACCCAGAAATCACAGCCTCGAAGGAGACACGCGAGCGCGCCCAGCCACGTGCAGCCCTCGGATTCGGAGAAGAACAGGACGATGCTGTTTCAGGTACCAGCACCGGGCGCTCCAGGCCGGCTCCAGCACGCGTGGACGGACAGGGCACTGTCCTCCTAGTTCTTCCTGCTCACTCCAGTAGTTGTGAGAAAGAATCCAACTTTCATGTGTTTTCCCCTCAAATGCAGATAGTCCCGGTGGGGAAAGAACGCACAGGAAACCTAGAAGGCGAGAGAGGCAGACATAGAGCATGGGCTGCAGCCAGGAGAGGAAGAGGAGGAGAAAGGGCTCATGAGAGGAGCGTCCTGGTGACCTGGTGGAACCAGGGATGGATCACTCAGCATTCCATGATTAGTCCTGTGATGGATGCTCTTCCTATCTATCACCATTGTCTTGAGTTGATTCTTAAATAAAGATTTTTTTTCTTTTCTTTTTAAAATAACTGCAGAGAGACAATCTTTTCAGGATTTGGAGAGGCAATCTAGGAGTCTTATTTGGCATGGAGAGAAAAGATGATTTTTCTAGAGAGAAAGATGAAAACTCTAGAGACTCCTAAGTGTATTTCAGATGAGAACACATCAACTTACTATGCATACCAAAGGAAAGGTTAGAGAAAAACGACTGGCCTTGATCGTCCACTGGATTGATGATTGAATGATTTAATGCCAGCCATATGATGGGTGTAAAAAAAAGAGTTCTTAATTCTAAAAGTGTTTTTGAATGTCCTGCAGGGTACAGAAAATGTCAGACTCTACTTAAAGAACTTAAGTTACAACAGTGTTTTGTAGATGGTCTTTCATCTTCAGCTTGTTAACATCTGAGTTTTCTAGAAAAAACAGAATGACTTCCCTTTTATTCTGCTTTAAAGAACCCCAGAAGGAAATTCCATGGTGTACTTCAGTAAAGAGTCCCAGTGCATAATATTTGCTTTATCAGAAGTTCACTTAAAAAAAAGTGCATCCTGTCCCCACCCTGCAAAAAGTTCATCTTTTTCGGGGGCTGGGGGTCCTCTAGGCTCTTGGTTAATGATTAATGTACCTCTGGTCTTTTCTTTGGTGATATGTTTAAGTAAGTTTTCGGGCTGTCCACATTTTCTCTTTTTCTTAACAAGTCAATTTGTTAATTTTTCTGAATGGCTCTTTATTTAAAAAATTTTTAACTTAGTTCAGTTATGTTTATATCATTTAATTGAGTATTTGGGAGAAAGAATGATTATAGTATAAATAAGTAATTGATACTTTCAGAAATTATGAAATGAGGAACGATGGCACATTTTTGAAAGGTAATTTCTCATCTGAAAAATATTTTTTTCATCTCATAATTTAAGAGCAATTTAATTTTCATTATCTTTGACAAAAAAGAAATATTTTGATATTACAAAACTGATATTTGGAGTCAGAATATTGGTTTGAGGGGTTGGGGTTGTGGCTCAGTGGTAGAGTGCTTGCCTAGCACATGTGAGGCACTGGGTTCGATCCTTAGCACCACATATAAATAAATAAAATAAAAGTTTTGTGTCCACCTAAAACTAAAAAATATTTTAAAAAATACTGGTTGGATTGCATGTTGGAGAACATGTGGATATATCAGGAATTTGAATCTATTATTGCTATTTGAATATTTAGTACTAAAGTAAGATGTTAGGTCCTTGTGAGTTGAAATTAACTGGAGTACTTTTATTTTCAAGGTTGGGCGATTTGAGATTAACCTTATCAGTCCAGACACAAAATCAGTTGTGCTAGAAAAGAATTTTAAAGATATCTCCTCTTGTTCTCAGGTATGTATTGAGTTGTAAAATAGTTTTTGAAGAAACCCATTAATTTTTTTCCCCACAATTATCCACAGAATAACTAGGCATAAACTCCCTCACATTTTAATGTTCTTTAATTTTTAATTTTTTAAAAATAAAATTTGTTATGAAAAATTAAAATTTGTTCATTGTTTATGTAACAAATCCTGTCCAGGTCCCTTAGTGTCCATCCTAACATTTGTCTTCATACTAATAAGCTCTTTCTTTTTGTCATGACACTTCATCAAATCCCTTCCACTGCTGGAATTTTTTGGTGGTGAATTCTTTTCAAAGTACTTCACAGTTAGTGTTCCTTAACCTTGGGCAGTGGGACTTGTGGGTATAACTGAGTCATATTTGCTCTTTATACCATAGCAGGTAGTAAAAGGAGAACTAGGGTTTTCAGCTTCTGTTAATGTAAATCTTAAATTTTGAAAAGAACATTTTTGGTATTTTTGTTCTTTTATTTTTAATTCACAAACTATGTATTTAAATGTTGTTAAAATATTTGATACAGCCAAATGTGTACAATATTATAATGTTAGGGAGTTATGGTTCAGTGACAGAGCACTTGCCTAGCATGTGTGAGGCACTGGGTTTGATTCTCAGCACTGCATATAAAATAAAGGTCCATGGACAACTTAAAAAATATATGTATTTATATAAGATTATAATGTTAGGCATAAACTAGCATCCTAAGGACCCAGGGATTGATAGTATTTTTTTCTATTATATGGATACACAAAATTATTTTGTATGTATCAACATTCTGTACTCCAGTAACTTAGTGGCACATCATTTTAAGAGGAACATATATTCTACATTTCTAAATTCCTATTTAAAGGACACAGAAATGTGGTAGAAATTCTTTTTGGTACCAAAGAATTTTGGAAAATTCTTAATTTACCTGAGAAAGAACTTATTAAGTATCCTTATGATATGTTTCCTGGGAATTTCTGTAAGATCATAAGCTTCACGAAGGCAGGTGTTTTATGCTTTGGTGTCCTATTCTGTGAGATGTTAGAATAAAATGAAACTGTTACCTTAGGTGTTTGGTAAATGTTGAGTGAATGGGCCCTTTCTACAGAGTGGGCCTTGTGCAAGTACTGGAGAGAAAGCACTGCATAAACCAGGTGCAGTTCCTGCCCCCACAGTACCAAGAGACATCCTTAAAAGCACACATGTTTCTATGCCCTCCTGTTCCCCAAGTCTCCCACTAAGAAAAATAGTGCTCATGGAATATCCAAAAGAAACAAGTTAAAAAAATTGGAAGAAAAGGAAGATCCAAATATATAAAACTGGAAGTTCAAATACAATTTTGCTCTTCTTTTTTTATTAAAGGCAAGCTCTGATATTGTGGTTGAGGAGAAGAATTAAACAAAAGCATGAGGGAAATTGGTGGAAAGTTCTCTCATTACAGTACCTCTTTCCATGGACTCAAGCTGATACAATGCCACTGTATTAAGAAATAGGCCTGTTTTTGAGTTCTGCACACCTACAAATGTTTCTTTCTTTAAAATCTGTATGACTGTTTTCCTGGCAAGCATGGAGAATAAGGGAGTGGCTTTTTTTTTTTTGCTGGGAATATTGCCAGCACCTGAAGACCTGCTGAGCTAATGAGGTTCTGTGAATTTTTCCTATTTAGTACTCAGTTAGTAGAGACTATTCCCACCACACTCCGCTGGTGCTGGAGATGGAACCCAGGGCTTCACAACATGCTAGGCAAGTGCTCTACCACTGAACCACACCCCAGCTCCCCAAAATAATCCTGAATCACTAATGAGTTGTACCACACTGCAACCTTATCCCTCCTTAGCAACCCAGCACGGTGTCTCAGATCTAGCAGATTAGTTATGTTTAAGCACAATTCTAATTCTAGAGTCTGTTTTCTTCTCACTTAGATTTAGGTGATTTTAAGACAATTTTAAACTTTTTGTCTATCTTGCTTTTCAAAGTACTGTGCTTGCTATTAAAATAAGGTCATCTACTTATTGGTATGCATGCCAATTTAAAAAAAATATCCATCTTTTACCACTGAGGCTCTTTGAGTGTCTATAAATAGATATTCTAGTATTTCATTCATATTTCAGCAAATTGCATAGTATTTGAATATTGTCAGTTGTAGTTTTCTTCAGATTCTTAGCTACATATAGAAGACTGCTCTTCTAAGAAGACAATAAATTGAAAACTGTTACTTGGAAACCTTGGAGTAGTGGATTTATTACAAGGTTCAGTGGATCATGATATCAGTATTTTTCTTCCTGTGGCCCTGAGTCAGAGTGTTTATCAGAAACAAAACAATCTGAGCTGGTCTCATCCTTTATATTATGAGTCAACAGGCCATGTGTACATTTGCTATGACATTATGTTCCCCATCACTTTTCTGTGAAGGAGAAATTCCTGAAACTGGGAAGGTGTAGAAGCAATGTTGATTCCCATGGTTGTTAAAAGGACATGTTCCCATAATTTCAGTATTATTCTTCTTTCCCCTCATCTAGGGTATAAAGCACGTTGATCACTTTGGCTTTATCTGCCGGGAGTCTCCAGAGCCTGGGATGAGCCAGTACATTTGTTATGTGTTCCAGTGTGCCAGTGAATCTCTGGTGAGTGGTGTTAATGCTAACCGTGTGCTTCTGCCAGCACATCTCTCTTACAGAAGGCTTGTCTTTGTGAACCCAGGCCTCCGAGGGAAAAGAAGAGGGCATCTAGGAATATATTTTTACCCTTCCAATCAGCACTGAACTAGAGAAACAAAAACTAATTGCTGTGGCAGTTTTTAATTCTGGATATACTTTTCATGGATTTAACAAACCCAGTCATGGTACTAGGAATAGTTTTAAGAGATCCGAAAAGACTAGTAAGAGAAAAAGCTGTTACTTTTTCCATTGTTCAGATAACAAGATGAGAAAAGCAATCACTTTACCTCTAAACCCTCTTGCCTTGTCTCACACATAGCTTTTGGGGAGATCCCTGATAACTAAACCATAACAGCAGGTAATCCAGCCCAGTATCTCTACCAGGGAAACACATCTACTTAAGAATAAGTAAATAAGCAAGGCAGTAATGTCCTCATTTCCTTGGTGCATCTTATAGTTCCCCTGCCTTCACGTTCCCGGTGAAAACACTTTTAAGTTAGGAGTAATGAAAAAGTGAGAATGGATTGGTATGAAGGAACTTTTTGACTAGGGCCCCCAGGTCTCCACATTTTTTTTCTAGGGAATATAAAATTTCTGTCCCTAATAGTTTCTTTTTCTAGAAAGTTCCATACGAGTTTCACTTTCCCTCTAGATAATTAACCATACTTAGGAAATAGTCATCCACATTAATTCCAGGTGATCTGTGTTGACTAGGTTCACTTTAGGATGTGAGATAGAAATATGAGGGTGGTCATTAGATAGTAATAGTGGAAGGCATGGGGGTGAGTGAACACCCAGTGGGTAGAGGGAAAGAGAACCATTGACAACACTAGAAAAATACAGCCATGTAAGTTTGGTAGCAAAGGATAACATAAGGAGTGTGGCCACCTGTGCCACACTCCTTATTCACCCCTGGCACTCATACCTCCCTCCTTCCCACCTTGTCCCTCCTCTTGTCTAAGGCTGATCCTTCTACCATGTTCTGGATCCCATCCTGCCCCGCCTTTTCAAAACCTCTTGTGGATCCCCAAGTTTTTATTTAGGCAGCACCATTTACCCAACTCTGTAACTTAAGGACCTTCATGCATTCCGTCACCTTCTGCATCCCGTTGTTTGCCAACACCTGTTGACTTGAAGATAGGCACGTCCCTTTCTTCCATCCTCCTTTTCCTCTGCGCTCTTTCTGGGGATTCTTCTTTATGTAGACTCCTTTATTAGTGATCTTCGTGTTCCTTCTGCCACCGGGTTAATCTGTCACCTATAAAATTTCCACGTTAAGTTGGAGTTTGATTTCTCACCAGATCCCACAGGAGCCTAGTATACACTTTCTTATTAAGGGATGGTAGCTAGATGGTCCAGCATGGGGTGGGGCTACCTTCCTTCTTCCTCAGCCTCTTGTGCTGTGATTCTCCACACACACTGCAGTGCCGTGCCCTTCACAACTGTGCCTTCACCCAGGTGGCTCTGTCACAAGCTGTTTTCTGAGCCAAACCACAGAGACGGGTTTGATCATTAGTGTCATTGTGCTTACAGAAACCAGCAGGTGATGAAATGCATGGGGCATACATGCCAGCAAGGATCCCCCCTGCCCAGTATTGGGGATTGAAACCAGGGCCTTGCACATACTAAGCCGGAGCTCTACCACTGAGCTACACTCCCAGCCCCAGCCTGAGATCTGTGATTTTAATGAGTGTCCGAAGGCCCCTGAAGGCTTGGGGGAGTGCAGCTATGGTTCAGAGGTCACTGTCCACTCTGTAGGCTGAGGAGATGACTGTGGCCAAAGAGGCCACAGCCAGGGCTTACTGCTTCCCATCCTACCAGGCTGAGTCAGGGGACCCTGTGGGCCTCAAGGGGTCACCCTCTGCTCTACAAGGAGACTGTGCAGGACTGGAGTTGCCTCTTTAGTGGTCAAGCAGGTGTGGGCCCACCTCACCATAATCTGAATGCCCTTCCCCTTCTTTTCATTCAAGACCCAGCCAAAATAGCACACCCTTCTGAAGGCTTTTGAGTCCCTTTTCTGAGGAATTGAGTCTTTTACTGTCCTGTCATTAGGACTCTGACGACACTCTGAACAAGTCTCCTACAGTTCCTGCCAAACAACGGTCTTCTTTTATCTGTTTGCATTACTAGCCGTTCCCCTGTCAAGTTCACAGTTTGGCTTATTTCTCATTCAAGTTATCTCCTTGTACTGTTTTTGATAGTTGGTTTCTTTCTTTCTTTGTGGGGATTGTATCAGGGCCATGTGTGTGCTGGGCAAGTGCTGTACCACTGAGCTATGTTCCCAGCCTGGTATTTTCATAGTTTGAATGATGGAATGAGCGTATCGCTCTTAACTTCAGGCATTTTCCTGGTGTTGGCCAGTCTCTGCTCACTGCATCCCTTGCATGAAAAGGAAGGCTATGTAAACCCCCTTTTATTTCCATTTTCTTTCATAGATTTTTAGTGTCCCCCCCCCACCTCCAATGCTTGTAGAATGGGTTTTGAAATGGAATTGCAGAAGGTCTTGGACATGCTGTCTTTCCACCTATCATGCACTGTGACTAAGGCAACAGACTGCACTGGCTGCAAATGCCCTTCTGTTACTTAAACCATTTTCAGAGTCCAAGTTTTAGCCTCATTATTCTTAAGAACAGCCCCTGCTAGGATCTTTCAAACCCTATTTAATTTTATCACTAATCCTCTTAAAATGAATAGTGAGACATCAGAGCTGCAAGCCAAAAGAAACATTAAGTGTACATTTCATGCATAATAGACGGATGGCTCAAGCAGCCAACAAACAGAGCAAAACAAAATAGCCAAATAATGTCAGTTCAAGCAGTGTTAGATTGATTGATGTGGCTTGGCAGTTGTAGAAGACAAAAATATTTCAAAAGGAGTGTATGCTGACATCTTTTCTGAGTAACAGGAACACACAATTAGCATTTTCTTTTGCTTCTTTGTAACAGTTGTTATGAGTTGGTAAATACTATAGTGTTCTGAAGGGCTCCAGAGGGTTGCGGTTAAGTTCAGATGCTTAGTGATCCCTCTCGCTTCCTCCTTGAAAGAGCATTAAGAGCTCATCTTGTCTAACCAACTCTTCAAATTTGTAGAAAACAATTCATTAAAAGTGCTTTCTCCAAAATTGATTTTTAAAGAGTGTGAAGAAAACAAAGAATATCTAAATTCCATAGTTGCAGAGAAAACTATTCAGGGAAAGTATAACCAAAAGGAAGAAAAAAGGGAAAAAAAAAATCTATGTTACTCAAGACTCAAAATTTATATATTAATAATTAATGAAATAAGCATGGTATTCATTATAAATAAAATATTAGCATATTGATAGGAGAATGAGGTATACAGTCTAGGAAGTTATCTTTCTCTTATATCTGGTATTGATTAAACTAAAAATTAAATCTCTAACTATTAAGGAGCAAAGTTGAGAAGATAGCAGGTAAAAAGACAGGTTCAAGTTTGAGATCTGTGATTTCAATGGTAAGGAAAAGTTGCTGATGTTTTCAGGAATGAGCAATTATCTATGGAATGTTTTTCATCTGAGTAAAAATGCAAGTAACTGGAATTGTTTATTTAGCCTAGGAACTATGGGAGGAGACTTTAGGCATACAAATGGTCATGTGAGAATTTACACACAATATAAATTGTGACTGAGAGGCTTAAAATCTAACAAACATAGAGAGCACTTCAATATGTGGGTGACTGGTTAGCACTGAAGTAGAACATTACCTTGTTAACAGTTGTTAAAATGGATCAGTGCCATTCTTTATTGAATACTTTGTAAATTTAAAATTTCCCAGAGAATTAGACTAGATGATCTTTTGAAGTCTTTACACAAGTCTATTATTCTTAGAGACTTAGTTTAAAATGCTATATAATACCTAAATTTGGTTATAATGCTTATGAGTATTTATTATATATTTTCTCCTTCATATCATAAATTAGTTTTATTTGTCCAATCTCATGCTTTTCACTGAGAATGTGATTTTTGTCAGATGGTAATGCCAAGAATATTTTCCTTTGGTTTGTATATGATTGATTTGTCTTTGCTCATTCCTTAGCATTTAACCTTTTTCATGACTTATAGTTTTTTGTTTTGTTTTGTTTTGTTTTAGTATTCTTAGTGTAATAATTTGAACCTTTGGTTGTTCTGATCTCATGATAGAATATATAGGCCATCTGGAAAAAGTTGTGGACTTCAGCAAACAAAACATTTAACATTTTATTAGTCAAAGTGTTTCTTGTGGCTGGGAGAAGTTGGTAGACACATTTTAGACACTTTTGAAATGGCTTCTTGTTTCATCTAGAAATAGAGAATACAAACATTCAGTATTTCCACAAGAGGCTTTACAAGGCAGTATAATTAAATGACAGATGACCAAAACTAAAGCTATTTATGTTTCTAAGCCAATTTCCAACCCCTTCAGTGTCTCAAGTAAATGAGAAACAAGGACATAGAAATAAATGGATATCTGCATAAATAATTAAATTACCTTAGAATATAAAACAAAACAAATAAAATCAGAATACAAAGCATTAAACATGAATCACATTTAGTTTTAATATTAGAAGTATTTATTTTTAATTATAATATAAGATCACATGAACAATTCATTTTTATTGATGGAAAGTGAAATTATTCATAAACCTTTTTAAGATTGGTAATATAATAAAGCATAGCAATAACAGCTGACTGCTTAGTGTTTGATCTTTTATTTCAGTAATATTTGGAGAGCAAAGTTTCTTTATATTCCAGGTTCCTCATATACTGAAATGCAGAAGTAGATTAAATTCTTTAGATAATGACTTATTCTTAAACTAGGCCATAGGGGAAGGGGAAAAATAAAGTTAAAAAAGAAAAAGTGGATTGCCAAGTATGACCAATGGTTTTAAATATCAAAGCTAGTTGGGATGAGGCCCTTAGAATTCAATAGCTCTGCCATGTAGGTTTCAGAATTTGATCTACATTCTAGAGTACGTGAAAATCACATCTTTTTTTAAAAAAATATTTTGTTTATTTAGTTGTAGTTGGACACAATACCTTTATTTTATTTTTATGTGGTGCTGAGGATCAAACCCAGGGCCTCACATGCACTAGGCGAGCGCTCTACCACTGAGCCACAATTCCAGCCCAGAAAAGTCACATCTTGTATTGGTGATTAGGTCACTGAAAAAGGAAGGTGCAGCCTGAGGGGTTTAACAGTGCCTAAGGATGAGCTGTTAGTTGGTTTCAAAGAAGCAACAGGAAACTAAAAGGCTAGATTCAATGTTCTGCACTGGGTCAGTGGAAGAGCAAGAAAGAAACCAGCTGGATATTTGCAAGCTGCTGGCTTAACATTGAGACCCAGCTTCTAGATATCCAGATGTCAGAACTGTTGTAATTCAGAAGTGCAGTGGTAATCCATGGGAAGCTGTGGAGGTAAGACCAGCAGTGATCATAAACATTTCCCACTGTTATTTACATTGATCTTATTTTCCCCCAGAACTTCATTTAAACACTTACTTTGTTTATTTTTCTATTGAAAGTGATCCAGAAGAATAAACAATTAACACAAGTGACTGTTGAACCGCTTTTGTTGTTCCTTATATATGGCAGGCAAAACTTCCAAAGAAGTCTTTATCTGATAAATCACTTAATTAAACCGAGTCCTGATCTACTAATTACTCTGTCTAAGATAAGGTAACCCTCCATGGGATTTGAAAGTTGCATTCAAGTAGCTGACCAGTATTATATTACACATACTGAAATGATCTTATTTCATCCACCGTCCAATTATAATAGATGCAAGGTCCTACTTTTCAAGTTTAATATTTTGTCTCTGCCAGCTCTGTAGTCATCAAAATTCTATTATTTATTATTTAGTCAGTAAAGGCTCACATTGCCATTGGGTTTTTAGTGTTTCCAAGCAGGCCAACTTTTATCGACCTGAGCTTTGTTCCTTCTCGTAGGTCGATGAGGTAATGCTGACTCTGAAGCAGGCTTTCAGTACGGCTGCTGCCCTACAGAGTGCCAAAACTCAGATCAAGCTGTGCGAGACCTGCCCCATGCATTCTTTGCATAAGCTCTGTGAGAGGATTGAAGGTACAGTATAACTTGGCCTTGGCAGAAGAGGAGTTTGCTTTGGCATTTGAGAAATGAGAAAGTCCCTACTGTCATTGAATACTTCTTTGTTTCTATGTGAAATGAGAACTCAGAGAATCAATTCTCATGTCCAGTCAGTTCCAAATGTGCTGTCAGTCTCTTAGATGCTTGACTTTCTCTTCTTTTTTCCTTCTGAAGGCAAACTCAAGGAAGGGACTTGAGTTCCCACAGTTCTCAAGACTCTGCTATGGACACAGTTGGAACTGACCAAATATTTGTTCACTGAATGAAGAGAGCAAAAACCATCACAGCTGTTTAATTCTTTCTTTTGTTTCCTCTCACTTGTTAATGTGTCTCTTTTCTCTAAAGGTTTAGAACTGTGTAAAACTTGTTTGACTTTTAAGAAGTATTTGGGAATGGCAGAGATAATGGAGGTGCTCTCCTGTGTTTTGAGGAGGAGGGAAGGCCTGAGGGAGAGGTGGCCCCTGACTCAACTTATCTTTCTTCTCATCTTTTCCTAACAAAAAAAAGGATGGAAATTACTGCACAGGAGAGGAAACCATAAACGCTCGTTAAGTGTCTGCCGTGGACCAGCCAATGTGCTAGGCACTGGGTATGCAGACATGTTTGAGACATGGACTGTGCCCCCAGAAGACTTTTAGTCCAGACAGAGCAAAAGTCACGTGAGCAAAGAAACACAATTCAGTATGATAAGTGTTACAGTAAATGGAAAGAGTGTGAACCCCAGAACAGCAAGGAGTTGGCTGTAGTCATTGAGGATGCAAGTTGTGGTTTCTATTCTGCAGGAAACAGAATCTGAGGCCCTTGGCAGCAACAGTGATCAACAGCAGTTATTTGTTGACTATCCAGACAATTGTGTGACTCAAACTATTTCAATTCAGATTTTAAAATTTACAATTCTAATTTTATAGGATGCACATTGTTTTCAAACTTATAACATGTTTGCAAAAATGGAACATTCTGTTTTGAATGGTTGAGGGAGTGTTATTAGTCTGTGACAGGGGCCAGGGGCTGATGATGGAGGAGATGGTGTTAGATTAATTAGCTATCCAAAGGGGAAAGATCCCTTTCACTTATTCAACTTACAAGACATTCTAGATGGATCCAAGTCCTCAGTGTAAATAATCCAAATATTAAAATCATTAAAATAAAACAAGAAGAACATTCTTATTACTTAAAAAAGGAGGGCTTTGTTCAGACACCAATGCAGGAACTATCAAAAGACATCCACAGATTTGACTTGACAAACTACTTATTTGGAAATAGAATGATAAGGAACAAACAAGGCAGTAGCAAAGCAAAGTACAAATCCAGAATTTGTAAAAACTTTATAAGAAAATGATAAAAACAACTCAGTAGGAAACTGTGCAAGTCACCTTAGAAAATACTTCTCATAAAAGAAAATTAAAAGGTCAAATAATGAAAGTGAAAAGTTGCTGAATTCACTGGATGTCAGAGAAATGAAAATAAGAACAACAGTAAGATACTCATCAGGGTAATGTTAAGAAAAATGTTATGGATCTTGGTAAATCTACATAATAATGATGGAGTATAAATTGGTATAGCTGTATTGGGGAGATAACTAATATAAACTCATTAACCTGAAATCGTGCATACCCTGTCAATCAGAATTTCCATGTTTTGATCAGAGATACAAATATGGGTGCCCAAACTGACATTTTCATGGTTGTATTATTTGTAAATAATGGAAAATTAGAAAAAAATTAAATTTTATTAGTATCATTATTGAAGCACTTTTATATCGTGAAGCAATTAATGAGAATGAATTTGAACTGAATGGCAACATGGATATCTCCTGAAATTATATTGTTGAATGAAAAAAGAACTTGCTGAACAATAATATATATAGCATATATATTATATCTTGAAAAATACATATAGGAATAATACAATATATTACTTTAAAAAATCTTGATTTTTTTTTTTTTTAGATTTATGGAAAATTTGAGAAGAGCTTCCAAATATTCCTCCCCCATTGTAAACATCTCATATAGCCCAGCACAATGATCCAAACCAGAAATTAACATTGGCAGGATGCTGTTATCCAAATGGAATGCTTCATTTGATCTTCACCAGTTTTCTGACTAACGCGTTCTTTTTGGCATTGGGGTCCAGGCATGGTCCCACAGTGTGTGGGGTTGTTACTTTGCCCTGGTCTCTCACAACCTGCATGCACTTTTTGTCAGTCTTCCTTATCATCTGGGGATGTGAAACTGTGTCATAATATATGGAGAACCTCTTGAGACTTTTCCAGCAATTAATAAGCTAGGGTCATGAGTAGTTTCTTCAATCATAACAGATTTTACTTTTCTGTATGTAATCATGAAGACTGGCATGGAAGTTTGTTGTGTTGTAGAATGAAAGATGAAGGTGAGCAGTTTGCAGACACTGTTCTTCTTGCCATTTCATGGTACACAGTAGCTTAAAAACAGGTGTACTTGTAGCACACTGACAGTGGATCAGCTGTGTTCACATTCTGGCAGAGAATTTTACTTTAAACCAAAACAAAAAAACAAAAACAAAAACAATGTTTTAATACTTAAATATTTAAGCAGTTGTTTTTAAAAACAATTTAAAAATGATTCTCTCCCATTTATTCCATGTGCACTATCTATCTGTAGAGATCTAAACAGCTTTTTACTTCAAAAAAGGGGCAAAATGTGAACAAATCATTTTATTTCAGTTACCTCCCACCTCATATTTTCTTAGAAATAAATGCAATTAGAAAACTGTACATATATTCATAATTCAAATTATGATATTATTTATTTCTAACCTCTGATATAACTTAGCAAAATAATTTTTTTAATTACTTTGTCTTACTCTTTGTAATTAATAATAATGAGTACATGGTTTAATACCAAGTAATAATGTATTTAATTAAAACCTGAGAAAGAAAACCTTATAATTGTGATTTTAAAAATGCCAGTCCATGCATAAGGTTTATTTAATATTATATATAGCTACATATTCTGTTTATAGTAAAAAATGTGGTAGTTCTGTAAGTGACACCTAACAATGCAATGGAACTCTTCCTTAAAAACAGATGGTCACTTGAATCATTGTAAATGTGAATTAAATTTCCCTTTAAGAAAAAATTGCAGAAATGTTTTCAGGGAAAATTTCCCCCCAAGGACTTGATATAAATTACATATGGGAATTAGAAGGATTTGTTAATATCACACTGTAAGGATGTAAATAACCTTCTTGGTAAACTAATAGCACTAAAAGTGCACTGAATACTAAAGCCATCCTTGAAACCTTATTCCTGCAGAAGGAGACCCCCATGATGGGGAGAGAGCCTGACTCAGCTCTAGTACAATAAAACATTATAATTATTATTTTTTCAAATGTCAAGTTGTAAGCCTAGATATTTTGGCCACAGTTAGCGTTTAGCTTCTGTTCCTGTGGCACGTCCTGGGATAATGTTCATCTGCCTGTGAGGTGCCTCACTAGGTTTGTTAGTATTTTAAGTGGTATGCTTGGCCTCACTTAGAAGTTCTTGGTCAGTAATTCCAACTCCAGGTTTGCCATGGAAGGCTGTTGATTTTGGTGGAGAGTTTTGTTACCAGGCTTTAATCATCTGGATGTCCTGCTCCAGGGTTTGTTGGAGGCAGGAACACATCTCCCAGAGGAGACGGAAGTGGAGAGCCTGCTGGGGAGGAGTGAAGTGCAGCCCAACAGACTTAGATCTCCAGGCAGCCTGTGCTCACGCTTTCCCTCTTCCTTTCCCTCAGGTCTTTACCCCCCAAGAGCCAAGCTGGTGATACAGAGGCATCTCTCATCACTGACAGATAATGAGCAAGCTGACATCTTTGAACGAGTTCAGGTAACATTATATGTAGTTCTCATAAATAAAATATAAGGAAAAAGAGGTGGATCCTGTTGTTGCCTGTTCCTTTTTTTTGTCCCTCTGTTAGAAGTGAAAGCTGTGTGTCCTATAGGACTACTTGGTAGAACCAGAAAGCCATTGTTACATTTCCGTCTTTTCTGTTAGACTCAATTGAGTGAAAAGAAAGATGAGAGAAGCTGTGTTGCAAGTGTACTCTTGATTTGTCTGTTCAACAGAAAATGAAGCCGATCAGTGACCAGGAAGAGAATGAGCTTGTGATTTTACACCTCAGGCAGCTGTGTGAAGCCAAGCAGAAGACACATGTGCACATTGGGGAAGGCCCAGCGGTGAGAAGATGTTTTTTCCTTTGACCTATTTTTGTTTATGTGTTTATTTAAAATAACACAGAAAAAAAAATGAAAGAAGAGTACTTCCTTTGTGCTCTCATCTTCTATAGGGCTAAAGACCAGCATTTTAAGAGTTTATTTGGAAATTTTAGCAGGTACTGGCACATTGAGATAAAATAATAATAGTTTTATAATGTAAAAGAACTTGTGATTTTGGGTTTTTTAAAAAAACAGATATATATATTTCATCATGTAGAGTGAGCATACATTGTTTTAGATGTGGGAGAATTTATCATTTTAAAAATATTAATATGAAAATTGTATCTCATCAAAAGCTTAGGCAGCCCAAGTGGTAAAAACAAAAATGAAAACCTCAGTTGTCCCTCGTGAGTGGCCACCCTAGCTGCAGATGGAAGGATGACTTTTCTATGCTGATGGTTTAGAATTTATTCCCATCTTACAGAGATCAAGTAAGACCACCACAACAGCATCAGAGTGTTTAGCTCTTATGAACACAGATGCCCTCTGTTGTTGATTCACTACTTTCTTGCATCCATAACTTCTGGAATGATCTGACAGAGCTGATGCTGGTGTGGACTTTTATTCCCTCTCACATAGACTAGGCAGAAGCCTTTCAGTCTGATTTTCGTGACCTTTAGGTGTTTTTTTAATGCTTCTTGGAGGTAAATTTCCCTAAAATGACCTTCACAGAGATGACCTTCAGATGACCTTCACAGAGACGCTTCTCTTTTTAAATTCGAATCAGTGTTCTTCCTGTTTGGCACTTAAGACTCTTCACATTATTTTTGCTCCAGCCTCACTTTCTCATGTTACTCTCTACTGCTCACTTATCTTTTAGCTCCTGACTCTGTCCCATCAGCAATCTAGTCATTATAATTTTGCCAACAACCACCCCCAGCTCTGGGGAAGTCATTCTCCCTGTTCTCCTACCTGTCTGAGCTCCACGTATCCCTTTCTCCCTGACGGCTGAGACAGAAAACCAATCTTCCACTTTCTTCCTTGATACTTACATGTGTTTTGTGTTGTTATTCCTTACCACAGAAAATTATAAGGTTTCTCTCTTGAAAATTGTCATGTACCTAAGGACCATGTAGTATGCACAGGATCCACTTATTTCCATGGGATAAAATATGTGGAGGATCTAATATGTTGGACACATTAGAGACTCTCATTTGGTTTAGTACTATCAGTAAATACTTAACAGATCTTAAAGGATAAATAACCTATTCACAAATGAAAATGGAATAATATAACAGAGGCATTACTAGGATCAAATTTTGCTTGCAAGCTGCATTGTTCTTTGGAACTCATTTTCTCTGTTTTCCTTGCTAATTTGGATATAAAACATGCACCTTTGAAAGAGATGGTGGTACTTTAACTAGAATAACAGCAGAAAAAATTGACGTCTCAAATTTAATATCCATTAAATGAAGCAGTAATATGTTACTGGAAAGGAAAGGCATGAAGAAAAGATCTTAGTTCTGTCTTTTTTATTACTTACAACATTAAGCATGAAACATAATCTTTGTGTTCACAGTGTGGAACCCAAATTATTACTTCTTAACGGGGCTACTGAAGAATTCTTGTGTTTTTTTAATGGCTTAGTTTTAAGCCTGTATTTAAAGCCTCATTTAACCTTGAGTATGTCTAAACTAAAATTGCTATGTTTTTCTTTCTCTAGACTATTTCAAATAGTACAATCCCAGAAAACGCAGCAAGTGGTGGAAGGTTCAAACTTGACATTCTGAAGAATAAAGCAAAGAGATCCTTAACTAGCTCCCTGGAAAATATCTTCTCAAGGGTAAGGATAAACTGAGGATCTGTTAGTTAAACATGTCTTTGTTTCCTGACTTTGTTTTCTGGCTTTATTCTTAGCTAGCTCACCCAAGATTTACTTTAAAAAGTACAAAAAACTTATTAGGATAACTTTAATTTAGTTAACTCTTAAGATAATCTGCCAAAATAAATTTTCTTCTGAGATCTAGATTTGTTCTGGGGCCTCTCATATGTGAAACGGAGCAATAGAGATTTACTAGTAGAGACATGGATAGAAAGGGGCCGTAGAATACTGAAGCTCAATACTGTAAGAACTTCTTATCATTTGTCATAAACTTAAAAAGAAACCTGCCCTTCTTTGGCCCATTCTTAAGGGTTGATAGAAAATGCTGAAAATAGCATAAATCAGTGGAATTTTTTAAAATCTCACTTAGTGAATTTACATATTTACATTTAAATATAGGCAAAATCTTTTCCCTTCCTTTTCATTTTCCTCTTCCTGAATAATTTAGTCCTAAAGCTGTAAGTCAGCATCTTAGGGCAGAGAGTTGGGGTGGCTCAGAGCAGAAAGACACAGAACCCGTGGAGGGGTTTGGGGCTTGGGAGCCAGAATGGTGAGGGGGCTGTTGGCAGAGTAGAGCAGCCTGTTTTGGGCCAAGGAGGGCTTGCCTGTAGAGGGAGGGCCCATCACAGGCAGCAGAACAGAGTTAAGGTAGAAGTGTCCCTAGACAGGGAGGTAGAGTCCAGGCAGAGTGAGGAAATGCACCTGGGGGATGGCAGCCTCAATATGGGGTGCTGCAGCCTGAGGGGGTTGAGGAGAGTGTTCACATGGTGGCAGTAGTAGAGCTTAGTCACACGCAGGGGGATGTCCAAATAGGTAAATATGTTAAGATATGGGTTCCAGGGAGAAGGGAACTGCAAGTATGAAAAGAGGAAATCTGAATGAACCCTGTGTTATTGGATTCAATATGCACTCAGAGATGGTTGTGTGTATTTGTGTGGGTATATTTTGTGTGTGTGTGTGTGTACATTCAGCCCCTGGCTTTGTTCACTGAGAGAACTTGGGAGTTGTTCTTCTGAACACATCAGATAATAAGCCTGGTTGGGTGGAATCTAGCATCTGTATTGTTGTTGTTGTTGTTGTTGTTATTATTATTATTATTATTATTTGATACTGGGGATTGATCCCAGGGGTGCTTAACCACCAAGCCACATCCCCAGCCCTTTTTATATTTTATTTAGAGACAGGGTCTTGCTGAGTTGCTTAGGGCCTTGCTAAGTTGCTGAGGCTGGCTTTGAACTTGAAATCCTCCTGCCTCAGCCTCCCTAGCCACTGGGATTACAGGCATGCACCACCAAACCCAGCTAGCATCTGTAGTTTGTATCTATCCTCCTGCACTAGTAGGAACCAGGGTCCTGGGAGAAGCAGTTCTAGAGCTGCAGGAATAGTACAAGTACTGGTGACATCTGACAACAGTATGACCATCCAAGTAAATGACAGCAATGTAATGATTCTATGACCCATTGAGTAAAGTAGGAACCATGAATTTATTCTGAGATGAACTTCAGCACACTGAACATCTGCGCATGAGTAGGATGCAACAGGGAAAGCAAGTAACTTCAGATCAGAGAGGGCTGCCAGACACGACCTTGGTTGAGTGATGACTTGGACCTCATCAGCAAAGCAACACACTGAAATCCTGTGCCACCTGACAGAATGGACAGAGCACAGCTTCAGAGGTCTGACAGCCACAGAGGCAGCTCTTGAATCTAATCAAGAGAAAACACAGCAAACCTAGACTGAGGGACAATGTACAAAATAACAAGCCTATTATCATCAGAAGTGTCAAGATCCTGAAAGTCAGGAAAAGACTGAGGAATTGTTTAGACTGAAGGAACATGAAAATTTGTGGAGCAGGAAATTCTGAATCCCATTCTTTTGCTATTATAAAGGCTGTTGCTGGGACCATTGGAGTTGGAATGAAGTCTAAGAACAAAGTGGTATTAATGTATCTATGTTAGTTTCTTGTTCTTGAAAATTGCATTTTAATGGTGTAGAATTCCTGAATTCCTTATTTATCGGAAATGTACACTGAAATACTGCAGGATGAAGGAAACTTGCATCCCCCATCTAGATTATTCACTTATAGATTTGGGGAAAAATGTTTTGTACTGAAGTGTTAATTTTTCTCTACATTAGAGATTGTTTCCAAATGATACATGAAAAATTGATTATAGTAAACTTGTCACATGCTCTACAAAGCCCACGTGGGATTTTTTATTTGTTTTTTTGGTTGTTTATCATGTGGATAAATATCGCAGACAATTAAAGGGTCATAAATACTGTTACGTGCTATCAGTAATGCAGATTGGGTGTATACAGATGGGTGGTAGGTGTTTTAATTCTATTGAATAGTTTCACAAGGTGTTCTTGATGACTTGTTTTTAAGTCAACACCTTTCTTAACTTTTCTGCTAACAGAATACGAACATTTCGCCTGCAGTCTGTAATTATATTCTTCAGTGATCTCTATGTGCCTTTGAAGAAGCAGATGGGGATATAAATTCTCAGACGTTGAGAAGGGTTCTGAAGGAATGATTTAACTGTTTGCAAATGTGTGGGGTTTTTTTGTTTGTTTGTTTGTTGGAGATGAACCCAGGGTCCTGCACACACTAGATACTTGTTGCTTTTTTTTTTTTTAAACAACTGTTTAACATGAATAACATTATGAGTCCATAAAATAGTTGGATACATTTTGAATTATTCCTTGTTTATTCAATAGAGCATTAAGGACACAGTGTTCCTAGTTTTCTTTCTTTTCTGGAGCTCAAAACACTTTTACAGGTATTTCTCTTAATGATTGAGATTCTTTTTGATTTTAACAAAAGCCCTGCAGCAAGGGTGGTCAGCTGTGAATGCCATTACCTTATCAGTGGAAAACAGACTCTTAGAAAAGAACCTCTAAGAAGTTTGTCAGAAATATGTTAATGCAGCTGTCCCTAAATTTTTCATGCCATTTTCTTTCAAAATTTATAAATTAATATTCCTCCTTCCGTCTTCCTCTCTTTCCCTTTGTCCCCCCCCCCATTTGTTACTTCCTTTCTTTCTAAATCCAGAAATGAACCCACATCCATTCCTAGTCATCTAGGAACACTGATGTATTTGTGTGTGTGTGTGTGGAGCCAAATTTTAAAAGTCATCTTCTACTCCTAGGATGTTTAGGGTTTTAAGACTAAATAGTCAGCAAATGTTGTCACTGGATTAAAGAGACTTCAGGTGGTCAGGAATAAGGCTGCATTGGAAGGCAGTGCAGTGAAGTGGTTGTGCAGCCAGAATGCCTGGTTAGAACCCCGCTTTATCTCTTATTACCGGGGTATGTGGTTTGTTCTCCCCAGACTGAGGTTGAATTTTAATCCTCATGTCAGAGATTAAGAGGTAGAACTAGGTAGGACCTTGAAGAGGTGCTTTCATGAATTAATTAATCCATTCATGCTATTAAGGGGGTTAATAGGTTATTTCCAGAGAGGGTCTGCCATCAAAGCCAGTTTGGTCAGGTCTCTTACAGTTTCCTGTCGGTTGCCACATGATGCCCCGTAGTACCTATGACTCTGACAGCAAGGAAGTCATGCCTAGATATGACCTTTTGACCTTGAACCAGAACTGTGAGCCAAAAATAAGCCTCTTTTCTTTATAATTTATCCAGTTGTGATATTGTATTAAATTAACTTTGTAGCTTCATCTAACTTTATAATATATCTAATTGTGGTATTGTCTTGTGGTGATGTATTGGACTAAGATATAGAGTAACCAGGTCCCTTCCCTTGCTGAACTTGCGTTTCCTTACCTGTGAGATGACAGCAAGGGTGTTCTTACTGCCTAAGGACTTGGTGAGGAAGGAATGAGGAGATTTATAGGAAGTGCTTGGGATTGGCAGAGAGTTAGCCAAAAGGGCAGCTGTGATGATCAAGACAATTTTGTGTACAGAGGAGCAGTCAACTCTGAGCTGCTGTGTGACCATGTTGGAAAAGTGCCTCTTTGAATTCTTATGTTGATTCTATGACATGCCAAGTAGCGTTTGTTGGACTTCGCCAACGTGTGGGTCATACAATTATAAGGTTTCCGTCGTAATCCAGTTTTATCGATTTATGCCACTGGGAAAAATTGCTCACAATCCGTGGCTGAGAAGAGAGCAGATGGCAGTGTCGAGCTTGGACGGGAATGCACGTTAGCTGGTGAGTCAGTCATTTGCACGTGCCCTTTGTGAGGACCAGGCCACACTTGAAGCATCACAATCCTTAGAGAAAATTCGGAGGACAGGCCTGGAGGATCTGAGAGTTAGACTTTGGAGACTGTACCGTAAATCAAGGCATTTCTCTTTCTTTTAATCTTTTATCGGACAGATAACATTAATAAGTAAGTTAAATAACATTAATAAGTAAGTTAAATATTTCTACTCATTTTTGTTTTCATTTTCTTTTTTGTTGTGGTAAGATATACATATAGTGATATAAAAAGTCCCATTTTAACCACCTGAAATGTACAATTCAGTGGATGTGAGCACATTTATTTTGTTATACAACCATCACCACTATCCATCTCTAGAACTTTCTCCCTCTTGCCAATACTCAACTTCCTTTTACTCTCCCACACCCCAGTTCCTTATAACTGTCATTCTACCTTCTGTTTCTGAATCTGTCTGCTCGAAGTGATTCATTATAAGTAGAATCACACAACATTTGTCTTTTTGTGACTAGTTTATTTCGCTTACTAAAACTTCTTCAAGTTTTATCCACGTTGTAGCACTTATCAGAATTCCTTTGTTTTTAAGGACCTAAAAACAACATACTACAGTGACACAGCCACATGGATGTTTATAGCAGCCCAATTCACAATAGCTAAACTGTAGCACCAACCTAGATGTCCTTCAGTGGATGAATGGATAAAAAAAAAATGTGGCGTTTATACACAATGGGATATTACTCAGCACTAAAAAAGAATAAGATCATGGCATTTGCAGGGAAATGA